TATTTTTGTTAAGAATTAGGCGATTTTTTAAACACCAGCTCGTAAATTGACTTTTGACACTCTTAACATTTTCAATGAGTTCCCCATGACTCGATGCTGATACCACCACTGATGTGTCATCGGCATACATGGTAACTTTGCCATTTAAATAGTTAGGAAGATCGTTTATGTAGAGTGAGAACAGAAGTGGTCCCAGTACCGAGGCTTGAGGAACCCCTAAGTTACTGTTTAATTGTTCAGTATTATTATTATTTAACTTGACACAGAATTTACGATTATTTAAGTATGATTTAATCCAATGAGAAAATTTACCTCGGAATCCCATCTCATACATTTTATCTACCAAAAATTCAGGATTTACGACATCAAATGCGCGACTTAGGTCAAAAAATAGTCCCATGACCAATCTTCCCTTATCCAGGTCTTCATAAATATGTTGCATTAATTGACATGCTGGTGATTCGGTGGAATAATTTTTCCGGAATCCATGCTGCGAGTTTGTTATAACTTTATTTTGATTAAGGAATGAAATAATTCTATTGCAAAGCTCGTAAAAAGGTTTATAAAAATGTATTTTTTCCGCCGATAAAACATAGTGCGTTATCAAAACAATTTCGCAGGTTTGCGCTTTGCGTTTTTTAACGCAATGAACAAAGCGTAACTTATATCAAAGTCTCTGCTTGTATCCTTAATTCTTTCGTGCACTTTGCCATGTTGCCACATTTCGGAAGTGACATAGTCGTGCCTATGCATCGGAAGTGACACCGTCGCTATATATGAAGTACATATATTGATGTTGGCGCCAGCGGCATATACCTGAACTAAGTGCCAAACTGAAAAGGTACGAAAGCTACGTAGTCACTTCCACCCGTTTTTTCGGATTTGAGCTCCTTGTGCCCTCTAGTGGCTAAATATGCTGACAACAAGGCGAAACGTTGTCACTTCCAAAATTGGAAGTGGAAACGTATATATGGAAGCCACAACGAATGTTACGTACCTATTTCGGAAGTCACTTGGTACATTTCATAAATATATATATATATATATATATATAGATAAGTGGTCAGCTGTGACCTCCGTTAAGTTGAGAGGGCCACCTCTCCTCCGGGTCTGCGGAATGGACGATATTTATTTTGATTGCATATATTGCGGGGGGGAGCCTTAAATATTAACGCCACCACAAGAGGGGAAGCAATTTTTAATTTTTTAAAATGTCATTTTTTTTACGCAAACTGGAGATACTCAAGATACAAAGTCACCTCCGAATATATATAAAATTTCGGAGAAGCAAACAGCCTTGTATCCTCCGACAGTGTTGCCGGGTTTTCGGAGGTCGCAACGTATCTTTAGTATCTGGGATATATATCAGATTTATTTTGTCCACTGCTTCATGCTATATGTGCCATACATTATTTAGTAATAATATATTATATATTATATTATAATAATAATTATTATTTTTGTTATAAAAGACAAAATATTAAAAATAATACAAATTGAGTACTTTGAAATAAATAATTTATTTGATTTAAAAAAGAACGTATTGGTATATGATAGGTCTTGCAGGTATAATGGCAAAAAAATGTTTTATTACATAACCCCTGTAAAATCTTTATTTATCGTGCGATTTTTACCAGATTTGTTTTAAAGGTAAAATCTTGATACACTGTATTTTTGAAGCAAAAACGCCATATTTTTACTAAATACAAGGCCTACTATGTCAGTTTTTAAGAGTTAATTTTTAAGAATTCATATTAGCGATTTTTTTAAACAAAATCTAAGCACGGCACTGGATTCACCACCCCTTAAAATGACCTTATACTAAATTATATTAAAAATGTAAATAGAAAAATATAGAGAAATAATAACTACAAAAATTTATTTTGTCAAGTTATACATGAAAAAATTGAAATAAAATTAAACTAATAGTATAACATGGTATACTTATTATAAGTTTAATTTTATTTCAATGTTTTTTTCATGGATAACGACGGAATAAATTTTTGTAGTTATTGTGCATTTTTCTACTTAAATTTTTTTAATAAAGTTTAGTAAAGGGTCGTTTTGAGGGGGTGGTGAATCCAGTGCCGTGCTTAGATTTTGTTTAAAAAAATCGCTAATATGAATTCTTAAAAAATTACTCTTAAAAACTGACATTGTAGGCCTTGCATTTTGTACAAATATGGCGTTTTTTGCTCCAAATATACAGTTTATCAAGATCTACACCTTAAAACAAATCCGGTTAAAATCGCACAATAATTAATGATTTTACAGGGGTGAGTTGTAAAAAAATGGGTCACATTGTATATGTACTGTTTTGCTTGCAAGTAGTTTTTTAAAAACTTTTCAAACCGATTGACTTTTGAAAGAATTATTAATTTTAATATTTCAATTGTATTTTTGTATTATTTTTATTTTTTCTAATTTTTTTGTTACTTTTACTATTTTTGTTATAATTATTTTTTTTGTTAATATTTTTATTAATTTTTCTAATAATTATTATACCCAATCATTTTGAATATATTTATTAGTATACTTTTTTATTATTTTTATCAATTTTACTTTTTTAATTATTTCTTTATTTTTAATATTTTTGATATTTTTATTATTATATTAATAAAAATATAAGAAAGAAATTTAAGTAAACAATAAATAGGGATAATTAAAAAACATAAGTAAAGTAAAACATTTTTATCTATTAAAATAGTTATGAATAATAATTATTATAATTATAATTATCATAAGGGTAACTAATTAATGTTTTTTTTTTCGTTTTTCTTAAGGTGTTGGACTTTGGCTTTAATAGGGGATACACTTCTTTTTATTTTCGGTTGTTCTAGAAAAGATTTAATTTCTTTGCTAGATGAATAAATATTTTTTGAATATGGTTAAGGAATTTATCCTTTATTAACCCGATTTCCATATTTGTGCAGCCTAAAAATAATAACACATTTTTAAACAAATAAAATTGAAAAAAGATTGTGTGAGTAAAAAATATTGTTTAAACACATTTTATGTGTTAAAATCATTTTGTACTTTTTTTGTTTAAATTCTTTATCTTTTTTGGTAATGATTTCATCATTATCGTCTAAATCTAAAAGAATTATTTTACGATATCCATTTCTATAAACATAATGCATTTACCTAATTATGTACTAAAAACTTACTTACCTTGAAAACCAACTCTCTTGATTATTAATTAAGTCCTGGAAGATATATTTTTAACTTAAATTGTTATTTTACACTTAAGATGTTAGAACAAAAGCGAAACTGCGTAACAAATAACATATAAGAAGTATTAAAGATGATCAAGTCTGAACATCTATGACTGAGCGAGATGTTGCAAGGTTGCCAAATTTCGGAGGTAACAAATGTACGTATACATGACGGAGGTAACTTTGATGTGGCTGAATCTGATTAAAAAGCGACACTAGCGCCAATTCATATATGGTGGAACTAAAAGTTCCTTTTTAAGAGACTGGGGGGACAAAGTGACCTCCGAAATATTTTTGCACAAATTGATTACTAACACTCCCCCAATGTCAAAAATATGGTTAAACACTGTGACCTCCGAAATTGGAGGTCACAGCGTCATATATGAGGTCACAACGTATGAAGGGTCTCCGTTTTGGAGGTGACAATGTACCCTTTATCAATATATATATATATATATATATATATATATATATATATATATATATATAATTGTCTTTTTTATGCCTTTTTATAAAAAACAAAATTAAAGATAAAACTATAGAAAGAGAACTATTTATACTTACTCTTTGTTGTTATAAATAATATTTATACCTACTCTTTGTTACCTACCAGTTCTCTTTCTATAGTTTTATCATTGAGTTTATCATTTACTCAATGGTTTTATGTTTAATTTTGTTTTATATATCGCACATGGTCAACAACATTTTGGATTTTTTAGTGCAATAATTTTAAAATTACTCATAGTTTTGTCGGCATATAGAGCTTGAATTGTCTTGAGACAAGTCGAATCTCTGAATTGATTTTTGATAGCGGGTCGCGGATCATTGGTTTCCTTTTTATAGCTAATAATTAGTTTGGGGCGATTAATATTAATTTTGTGTTCTGTGCGGATTTATCTGACTACGCGTTTTATTAAATAACTTTATATTAAAAACCAGTGTCGTGCATTCTTTTAAAATGTCTAGGCAGCCTAACCCTCAGTCGCCTCTCTGACATATATATATATAGGTATATACAATTATAATTGTCTTTTTTATGCATTTTTATAAAAAACAAAATTAAAGATAAAACTATAGAAAGAGAACTATTTATACTTACTCTTTGTTGTTATAAATACTATTTATACCTACTCTTTGTTACCTACCAGTTCTCTTTCTATAGTTTTATCTTTAATTTTGTTTTATATATCGCACATGGTCAACAACATTTTGGGTGTTTTAGTGCAATAAGTGTAAAATTACCAGCGTTGCCGTTGCCGGGTATTTTACCCAAAATTCGGGTATTTTGGAGTATGTGCCGGGTAAAATAATTAAACGGGTAAAACCGGGGATTTTAACCCTTTGACCCAAATTTGCAAAAATAAAAATTGTAGAACCAACAGCAAAAAATTAAACTTTAAAATTAAAATTCAACCATTCAATCTACGCTATTTCTCAGAGATAAAGAAGGTTGCTATTTCTGCGAAAATGAAAATGTCAATGTTCTTGACCATTTTGTTGACTGGGTTTATACAGTTACCTAATAGATGGCGCTATACGTCTTTATTTTATATTGCGCATGTCCTTGACGTTAATTTGACAGTCAACGGGTATTTTATTTATAACACTTTACTTATATTATAATTACTTATAAGTTATAAGTAATTAGAAACAATGGATAAATGGTTAATACGTAAAGGTGGCCAGGCGGCAAAGGTGGAAGACGAGGCTGCGAATACAGTTGTGCGGGTAGGTGACTAATAAAAAGTGAAATAAAGAGATTATAATGTATTGTCGATTTTGCAGAATCTGTTTAACGGTGGCAGCGATGTTTCCGATGTATTTTCTGAATTTCAGGGCCAGGAAAGGCCTTCATCTTCAAATGTTCTTAGTTCTGAAGAATTGAGTAGTGCGGGGGTAAGTTATAATAATAAAGAAAGGCTTTAACTTAATATAATAATATTAATATAATGCAGGAAGGAGAAAATTCTGCACAAAAGAAACCAAAAACCAAAGGCTGTAAAACAACACCAGAGAACAAAGAAAAAGGTAAACGAAAACGTGGCAGACAACTGAATAAATTTTGCGATTCTTGGCTCAACGACCCAGAATTCAGTAAGTGGCTAGCAAAATCAACAAATAAAAAAAACGGACATGAATATGCGTTTTGCAAAGTCTGTAACAGTGAAATAATTGCTCATCGCAATGATATTCGCCGACATAGTTCCTCGGAGAAGCATTCATACAATGCCAAGCAAATATTTACGAACCGAACAGTAGTGGATATGAATTATCTTGCTCCTGATGATCTTACCAAAAGGGCGGAGCTGAAACTGTGCAGTTTGTTGGCTACCAATAATCTGCCATTCTCATTGATTTTTAAAAAACATTTTTCCGGATTCAAAAATTGCGGCCAAAATTGCTGTCAAACGAACCAAGGCTACGTCTATGATAACAGAAAGTTTAGGCAAAACTTTTAAAAAACAGCTGTCGGAAACTTTGGGCAAGCCTGGTAAGTTTTTTTCTCTCATAATGGATGAGACCACTGACAAGTCCACTACAAAACAATGTGCTTTCACCATCATCTACTTTTGTGAGGAAACTCACAAAGTAGTTACAAGGTTCTTTGACATAATTTAAATGAATAGTGGAAGCAGTGCTATTGACTTATATAACTGCCTGAAAAGAGTGATTTCTGAAAAAAATATCCCTTTCACTAATCTTATTGGATTCATATCTGATTCTTGCAATGTGATGTTTGGCAACCACAACTCCGTTTATTCACTTTTAAAGGCTGACGCGCCGAACATAGTATGCATCAAGTGCTCATGTCACCTCATACACTTAGCAGCCTCGAAAGCATGCATGATTTTGCCACGTTCCGTAGAGGACCTCCTAAGGAATGTAGGATCTCATTTCAGTAGAAGTGCTGGTCGCCAAGAACGTTTCAAAGATTTTCAAGAATTTTTTAAGACTGACATCCATCGTATATTACTACCTTCCAATACAAGATGGCTATCTCTAAAACAGTGTGTGGACCGTACCTTAGAACAGTATAATCCATTGGAAGCGTACTTCAGAGAAGAAGTATTCAGGGATCCATCAAAAACAACGGAAGATATCCTGAATACCTTTGCGAATAAGTTCAATATCGTTTACCTTGAGTTTATGAGCTACACATTAGGACTTCTAACTGAATTTAACATACTCTTCCAGAGTGAAACAGCCTTGCTCTATAAACTCAAACCCGAGACTGCGACTCTTCTGCGTACGCTGTGTGCTAATTTTATGAAGAGAGAAAAAACCAGCAATAAAAATGTATTTGACCTCAATCACAAAAATCCCGACTTCTTCTGTTCACTGGACCAAATTTATCTGGGAATCGCAGCGAATGAAAGTATTGCCGATTTAAAGAATAATGCATCCGAAAACGAAGTCACACTCTTTTTAAAAAATTGTTTACAATTTTATATTGAGCTGGTTTCCCAAATAAAAAAGCGTTTTGTATTTGACGATGATGTATTTGATATAGTAAGCATTGTCGACCCAATGAACGCTCAATCTTTTAGCGTCAGAACATTGGCTAAAGTTACGAAGAGATTTCCAATTTTAAAGGAGTGTATCAATTGTCAAGAACTCGACAATGAGTGGCGAGACCACGCCCATATAGATTTTAAGGAAATGGGTATGGATCCCACTAAAACTGCGGAAGAATATTGGAAGCAGGTATTCGAATTTCGAAACAGGGCAGGAGTGGCACGTTTCCCTAATTTACAAATCGTAATCAAGTTTCTTCTCATCCTGCCTTTTTCTAATGCGTCTGTCGAAAGGGTGTTCAGCTGTTTAAACAACATAAAGACAGAAAACAGAAACAGACTGAACACCTACACAATCGCCGCATTATTGCACACAAAAGAGGGGGTCCAAGAGGCAGGAGGTCCAGTCAGATTTGAACCATCAAACAAAATGTTGAATTCTAATTTACGGAAAAAATAAAGTACTTAATCCCTGAGAGGAGGTTCATTTGTTTACCTATCTACTATTTATTAATAAAGTAAGCATATCTATGTATTAATAAAGTTCCTACCTAATACCTATTTACAATAATTATTAATAAAAAAATTTTTTAAAAACAAGCAACGTATTCGGACGGGTAATTTTCTGGGGATTTTCATGTTAAAGTGGGGGTAAAACCGGGTATTCTGTTATAGTGGCGTGGGTAATTGATAATTTCAGTGCGGCAACGCTGAAAATTACTCATAGTTTTTCCTGCAACAGTAGCATAAAGATATTTTTGATGTTAATCCATAGATGAAGACTTATATGAAGACATATGTCTGTCTGCAATTTGTATAATCCCTATTATAATTTTCATCAACAGAGTCATAAGTAAGTGTAAGTTGTGACAGTAATTTTCTTAACTTAGGATGATAATTAAAGTTGTCAACAATAAAAGAATGAATAAGTGACGCTTCTCACCTTAAGGCAAACGGTCTTGTGACCATGGTCCATTTTAACGCGTTCGTACTTCCATAGTGCTACCACCGCTATCGGTTTTCAAATTCATAAAATCAATTAGTGATTCTACAAGTAATCTACCAGAACAGAAGTGCAAAAAGGGTGCAATCTGCGTGTGGCACCTCCTCCTGGATTGTCCCAAAGTGCTCTATCTGTGAAAAAGGGTGTAAGTAAGGTGATTGGATACAACCAATAATTTTTCCTGGATTGCCAACACATTAACAACACGTGCTTATAGTTGGCTATCGAGGTAAATATAATAATAATAATAATAATAAACGACTTTATTTGACATACCTACATACTTATATAGATATATCAAAATGGCGAAGTTTGATTATAAAAATCAATCTTACACTTAACCATAAAAAATACATAGGTAAGTAATAATATTATACTACAAAAAAAAAAATAAAAGATTTTAGAACACTGTTAATAAATAAATAAAATTAAATTAAATTGCACACCTTAAATGTTAAAAGGTAAACTAACCTTGCTTTTGAAGCAAAGCTTTTTTTGTAAGTCTTCTAAATGTGTTTGGCTTTAGTTAGTGAATCCTGGTTTTAATGAGTTATACAGATATGCAGCCATATACCTAACTAAAAGATGTTTTAAAAAGAGCGTTGTGGTGTTGGGGAATAGTAAGGTAGTTGTTGCGTATGTTACGACTATGTATATCGCTCCTAAAAATTAATTTTTCTCTTAAATATAAAGGTGCTGAAGATTGTGTTAATTTATGAAGAAAAGTAGTATAGGTAAGATAGTGTGTATTATTCATATTTAACCAATTGAGACCTCTGAAATATGGTCAAATTTACGGACATTGCAAATAAGTCTACAGCAGGTATTCTGCACCATCTCTATTCGATTCTTAGTTGTTTTGTCGAGAAAAGGGTAGTAAACAAGATTGCAATAACTAAAAACTGACAAAACAAGTAATTCACATAGTTTTTTTTAATTTTCCAGTTTAGAATGTCTCTATTTGCATATAATACCTACTTTTAACCTAACATATGCATTTTGTATTAATTTATTTGTATGATCGCAAAGCTTTAACTTCTGGTCAATAGTTACACCCAATATTTAGAAAAATAAAAGTGGAATTCCATTAATATGTAAGTTAAGAGAATTTTCAATCTCAGGTCGTTTTTTGTCTGAACAAAATACCAAGGAAACCGTTTTATCAGCATTTAGTTTAAGATTATGAGTACTGAAGTATTCAAAAATTTTCTTTAGATCTCTGTTTATAAATACCGAAGCATCGTTTATTTTTTTCTGGGTTAGATCTATAAACATAAAGTGAATCATCTGCATATCCTTGTAGGTGGACATCGGCGCATTCAAAAATATCTGCTGTATAAATCACGAATAACAGAGGACCAAGAATCGAGCCCTGAGGCACACCAGAAATAATATTTGCTGGACGTGATTTCTTATTGTCGACTGTAACAATTTGATACCTTTCTGATAAATAGGATTTAAAGAGATTGATAAAGATATCATCAAAACCATAATAATGTAACTTAGAGCATAACAGATGAGAGTCAATAGTATCAAATGCTTTTGAGAAGTCAAGAGAGATCCAAATTATTTATGATTTTGAGGATAAATTTAATAAAGCTGTTGAAGTACTATGAGCTTTTCGAAAGCCAGATTGATGTTTTGGAAAAAGGTTATTTTCGTTAAAAAAAATTGTAATCTGTAAAGCAATAATTTTGGGAACGGAACTAAGCAGACTTATTGGTCTTAGATCATATGTGGACTCGGACTTGTTTTTAGGTAACGGGCATATTAATGAGTAATTGAAACCTACTTTGACCTACCAAAACTGATTTAAAACCTGTTCAGTCTGTTTACTCCAATTTAGCAGTAGAACAACCGAATTAATCTTCATTTGAACCGATTTAAACCTCTAATAAAATTTTTGGTTTAAATTTAAACGTAATTAGAACCGAAAAATCGGGAAAATGGACTTATCTGCCATGTTTTAGGTCATAAGTTGGTTATCTTTAGGCGAATATAAAACCGTTTAAGACGGAAATTGTCAGACTTAAGGTTTAAATTACGATCTTAATTTTGACTCGGGTGATTATTTAAAGTATGCAACCCGAGTCAAAATTTAAATCGTAATTTAAACCTACTTTGACCTACCAAAACTGATTTAAAACCTGTTCAGTCTGTTTACTCCAATTTAGCACTAGAAGAACCGAATTAATCTTCTTTGAACCGATTTAAACCGATTTAAACCTCTAATAAAATTTTTGGTTTATATTTAAACGTAATTAGAACCGAAAAATCGGAAAAATGGACTTATCTGCCATGTTTTAGGTCATAAGTTGGTTATCTTTAGGCGAATATAAAACCGTTTAAGACGGAAATTGTCAGACTTAAGGTTTAAATTACGATCTTAATTTTGACTCGGGAAGTATGCAGCTTTTTCGCGATTTAACGACGAGCGCGCAAAATTACGCAACATTTTATAATTTTCCAAATTTTCCGGAGCTTTTTTGGATTTAAACTTTGTAAAAGCTTTGTCACGTACATTAAAAATGATTTTTAAATTTGGTGTTAACCACGGAGATTTTGGTTTACTTACCCTTTTAGTTTCTACCGGTGCATGAATATCAAACAAAATATTAATATACATTGTAATTAAGTCGACTTTTTCGTCCAGATCATTTGAATAATAAATGCTATCCCAAGGTAAGCTGCAAAGATCTTCTTTAAAGCGAGTCTCATTAAAATTTTTAAAGATTCGAAAAGTAATAAGCTTCGACTGGAACATTTAGATCGCAGTATACTTAGCTGTGATCTGATATAAGATCGGCATTAGCTACTCCAGACCAAAGTATATTTTCAGGGTAATTTACAAAAATAGGATCAAGTAAAGTAGCAGTTTTCTTTTTTATACGAGTCGCTTCGTTTATAATCTGCGTGAAGCCAAAAGAATCAAGACAATTAGTTAATGGATTATCTAAGTTAAAAAGATTTATATTCATATCACCCGAAATATAATTTCACAACACCTGAAGTCCAAGTCTGCATAAACCGGATAAGTAATCCTACCAAAATTGGATGACCTTAATAATACTTAAATACTAAATTTTAATGCTAAATTCGCAACATTAACTTAAAGAACTCTACGAGGTAAAAAATAATTAGTCGCCAACAGTTTCCATAAAAACACCAAGCATAGCCAAAGAACTCATAAATAAGGGCTCACACTCAACTTCAGATAAACACTAGGCAAAAGAAACTCATCCTGTATATTACTAAGCACATTTAAGGGAACTATAAATTAGGTTCTATGCGAAATAATAAACAACCGCACAGTGGGGTGCAACGTTAGCGATAGTCAGCAAGATCGGAATCCGACTCAGACAGAGACACGGACACATACGAACAGGAAATACTTAAAGACCAGCAAGGATAGGTCCTAGCAGCGTACTAACCAACCAAGCCCCATCCATAAACCCCAATTGAATGGGGTAATTACTAAATCCCTGGTTGAGGGGGACTCCGGATTGTACTTAGATTTGGGTCAATGTCCCTCAACAACCAAAATGTTATTCCTCCTTGTCCGCACTCCACTAGCCTAAATCGAGAGTATGGCTCGGCCCGGCGATAAAATTCCGGGAGTGGCCTTAACCAACGACACTGTCATCCACGACCTACTAGGCGAGATTTACCAGCCGGGGTGAAAATTCGGATCCACCAAACGCAGGCAATGCTGTGCAGTGGAGGGATACGTAGGAGAACTGAAAGGGGTCAAAATAACCCTGGAAAATCAGTGTAAGGCGTTGCCGATGCATACGTTCCTTATATTTACAATTAACAATAAAAGAATGAATAATTTAAAAAATTATCAACACATTTTTTATCAATACAATCATATCTGCAAAATTCATGCACATATTTTCAGAAACACAGACATATCTTCAAAATTGATGCAAATAGCTGTTATCCAAATAGAGTATTTTCCGAGGGGTCACCCACACCTGGGAATCCCTGGACATTTTAGAGGGGGAATACCATAGGAATACATAGGAATACATAGGAATACAATAAAATATAATGGGAATACATGGGAATCCCTGGACGTTTTCCCTTTGGGTGGTTGACCCCTCGGTATTTTCTAAAATCTAATTTTTAACTGGCTTAGAATCTTAGTGTGGTTCCTTCTTTGCAAAGAAAATACTGTAAGTAAATATAATTTTACAAATATGTGAGAATTTTATTATT